TTTGCTTGTTGCTCATCATACATATAAGCATAGAAATCATCAGTTTTAGCTGCTTCATTATCATTTTCAGATATTTCTACACGGAGTATACTTTCTGGAAATTCATCATCTGCTACAGCATTGCTATTTATTGCGCTCTTGTTGTCCTCATCAATAATTTTGCTATTAAGAAATTTGTTGTACATCAACATTAGGCGTTGGAAATCATCAAAGCACACAGATAAAGCGTTCTCAATACCATGCATATTATTTGCGACTTGTAGTAATTGCTTGGCATTATCTTTTTTTTCCGCTTCGGTTGCATTAAGTTGTTGTAAGGTTACATCTAAAGCCTGACATTCACCTGCTACAGCCACCATACAGGCACTAAGTTTTAGGGAGGAGTCCTGCAGCACTGCTATGGGGTCATTACGATTCTTCACGCACTTTGTGCTGTTAAGTGTTTCAAGCTCTTGTTGCTTCTTTTTATTCAATTCAATTGATAAGTTTTTAAAATGATTCTCCTCCTCTAAAACTAATTGTCGTATAAGACAATCTATTTTTACTAGCTCCGCATTTAAACGACTGATAGATGGGTAAGTGGTTATGGTTAAAGCCAAACGTAAAAGGAACTGTGATTGTATGTAAGCAAATATATTGTGAAAATCCTAAAATTTAATTTTTTATTATTATTGTTTTCTTAAATTAAATAATTAATAAAAACCTTTATATGCTTTGGGCTATAATCTGTGACATTATTTTTAAAATATTCACACTCTCGTAATTCTTCGATGGGTGAATAATGTTGTGAAAATTTAGCTGGGATTGGATATGTGATTTCCAGCTTACGTATTGCATCATAAAGTATTTCTGTAACTTCCTTCGTAGATGTTATGCAGTCCCAAGCGCGTTCTATTTGACGTGATCTATAATATGCAATAATAAATCCAATTTATTTGAAACATATATACCACAAAAAAATTTAAATATATTTACTCAATTAATTCTTCCGGTTTCATTATAATAATTTCATTAAAATACGTCATATTGCGTCTTATGCAGTTGCCAAACTCATCAATGGTGCGTATTAAATTATCCAATTCACGTTCCACAATTTTATTTCGAAATACAAATACATTCTTCACCATGTACATGGCTGTGAAGCCACTAGTTAGCAACAAAGTCGGCAATAAGGTGAATCGTAAATATTTTGGTGTGACGAAATGTTCCAAAATTGTGCCACCAATTAAAGCGCATGTATTACGTGCTGTGAATATATCATTGGCAAGTTGTTTATCCTTAACCGTACCTACGTTATTATTTTGAGTGTCTACCACATCCTTATACGCCGGATTCTCTTCCATGTACATTAAGCAATGCTCCAGCGCCTCAACATGTTCAACTAGTAAACGCTTTGAATATAAGATTTTGTTGATAAGGCATTTTGTAATGGCCTAAAAGCAAATGGAAAATTATTAATCAATAATACAATAAAAATAAAATATTTTGGTAAACACATGGCTACACCGGCCGCTAGTCCTTTTTGCCCTTTCGCAACATTTTTACTACGCACCTTTTTTTGTTTAAGCTCATCTTTAACATGATGACTAATATTTATTTTCAGCTAAAAGATATTAAAAATTCATTATCGCTCAATTAATACGTATAATCTATTTTTGTTACCAACCTTCATATTGTACTATTTTATTTTTACTAAAAAATCAAAATAAAATAAATATTTGATATTGCTTCTTCTAAACTTTCGCTACCATTCACAATAATATTCACAATAGTACAAGTGCATTAAATTTTAAACTTACATATAGAGACAATTTACACGACGCGTAATATATATATACATATATAAAATGACATATATCTTATTAGTTAATATATAATATATAAATATATGTATTATATAAAATTTAATGTATAAAATCGCACATTTACACAGAAGCATTTAGTGCATGTCAAGGTGCATCCACACCAAAGCGTACACTTGCGAACGAACGAACTTTTGCAGGTACAATTACTTGCGAACCTTCGTTCGCTTTGCTTTGGATGCATCTTCAGATAGCAAATATATTGTATATAGAATTTTAAGTCATAATAAATAAATTTGGAGTTATTTTGTTTTTTCTAAAGAAATTGAGACAATCAATCAATTTGTTTAATTGCCTTAATTAAACAATAGAAATAGTATAATCTCAGTGACAATGGGTTAGATTTATTGGCTTTTTAGTATTACAAACTTACATGCTTTGTAATGTGAATAATAAAATATTTGTTAATAGCCTATATGCAATCTCATACTAATATAATAATATATTTATTTTACTGAACTTACTTTATTCATATGTTTCATAGTAATATCTACAACATTGCAGTTTAATAGCATGTTTAGACTATCGTACTTAACTCATTTTTGGGCTTATTTCGGTGGAGTGTAGGCGTGTAGGGCGTAGTTACATTTGCGATGCATTTACGAATCTATATAAAATTCATGTAAGGATGTGCGAGGTAAACAAGTACTTATAATTTAAGTCTATTGAGTCTGTTGTGTTTATATTTTATAAAGACTATTGCTTAAGTCAATTGACTTAGTATATGCCACTTCAAAAATTGAAATATGGCAATTATGGGTGCAAGTTTTAACAAACATAAAGAGAAAATAAAGCTAAGAATCAAAATAAAATTCAAACAAAAACAAATTGTAAAGAAAAATATAGAAAGATGTGAAAACGAAAATGCTTTTTGTTTTTTTGTGTGTTTCAATTTTCGTTAAGTTCAAGTTAAGGTGTAAGGGATTAAATGTCTTGATTCGCATATGATAAACCGAAGTCTAAACATGGCATTACCAGGGACCGAAAATAACAGTTATTTTAAAATTTTTTATGAAAAAAAGCAGCAACAAAAAGTTGTCTAAACTCTTATTTAAGTAAATAGTTATCATTCTAATAACTTTTATCCTTAATATTATGCATGCTTTTTATATATGAGCTTTTTAAAATAAAACTCAAAAAATAATAATTAAATTTGATTTTTATTATATTCATCAAAAATAATAATTATTATATGCAAAACAAAAAACTGAACTAAATCTTTACCTGCACCAACCTTTTCAAACATTTTCTATGGAATTGCAAAAACAACTACCTTGTATTGAAAATTGCTTTTATATTTTCATTTTAAAAATATCGCGCAGAATTTGCGCGATACTCTTGCTTTTTATATTATATAACGCAAGTGTACCAGTTATTTGTGCGTTTTAAAATAAGAAGCAAATTTTAAGAGTTATTTCTGCGCGAAAAAAATAAAAAGCATATAATAATTATTATTTTTGATGAATATAATAAAAATCAAATTTAATTATTATTTTTTGAGTTTTATTTTAAAATGCATATGATAACAGTTATAAGATGATTTTTATTTTTTTTATGATAACTGTTACGGTCCCTGGGCATTACTTATAAATAATTCGATTTATTTGTGTTCTATTATCACATACATATGTATATATAAATGTGTTCAAATATTGACAAATATTTTTTTGTCAAATTTTTGTTGGACTGTACTCATTTATACAGTAATGTATAATATACATACAAACATACATAACTATCTACAAATCTTGCTGAACTTGGTGTACCTCCTTTTGCGGTTCCATAAAATTTAATATAGTGTGCTAAAAACACATAGAAGGCTTCATGAGCTTTTAGATCATTATGATCTCTATAGCAATGCCTGTTCCAAATTGTTTACGAGAATCGGTATTTCTTATCTTTTGATAAATTGATCACAATGGCATAGTATTGTATCAGCTGTCTCAACACAATTTTTCCTACTCTATTATGTATTAAGACTTATCATATACGTATGTATGTGATTATAAGAGCGATTGCATCTAGTTCCGTTCAATATCTATAAAGGTCACTACGGGAAAATAAGGAATCTGTTCTCAATTGCTCGCAAGGTTAACTACACATAGACATGGCCATACCTATGCCATCGCATAATCATATTTACGATTTTAAGACGTTTGCTGGATAACCCAGAATAGTGTTTTTTTTAATTTAGTGAAACTATTTGAAGTTCCCTCCGAAATAAATTTCTGAATACGGTATTGTTAGAGTTAAAATATTATTATTTTCCTTTATATCTGAAAAAAAAGTAACCTGCTTATTAACTGAACTTACATATGAGCTAATAATACTACAGAGGTCATGTCAGTTAAATGTAACCCACGTCAAGTATAGTTGAAAGGTTAGCAAAGAGAGCCAAATGGTAATAAAGGTTTTCTAATCTTTCAATATTATATCAAAGCTAATTAGAGAATTTAGAATGAATATCAGAAGGTTAAATTGTCTTGCTGATATCATTCTCATCTGTGTTTCAAACGAACATAGAAGAGATTGAAAAAGCAGATTTTGATGCTTCTATGAATGTACATATTTTCAGTGCTGCAGATTTCTATTCTTTTGGAAATCATTAAGAGGCATATTTTTTAAATATATAAATATATAATTTTTTAAATATTTTTAAAGTCAGTTATTATTTAATACCTGAACTTGACTTACAACATGTGTAATATATCGGTTCAAATACTTACCATATTTATTTATCAGGTCCTGGGTAATCATTAACAAAGATCGTAACAATATTGCTCGTGTTATTGCAGCTCTTTCTGGCTATGCATAGAAATTATCTATTTTTTTTTGTGATTCTGTAGCTTTGTCTAATAGAATGAAGATTTTCTGGTGTTTATGGAAGATCTTTTTTGATAGTTTGTTGGATTGTTCTCTTTGATAAAAATATATTCAAACGGTAACTGCCGAACTGTGGCATATGCAAGAAATCACAGGGTTTCAAGAACGGTCGTGTCTACATTCCGGACCAACTTGTCAATCACGACGACCAAGTGCCATTCATCACCTCCCATGAGATTGAATACCTCACATGAGTGTTTTCAGTTTAATTCTACTAAATGGGTATATTTTTTTTAGTAGTTATGACTTATAACCTTTTAATAATAAATTATTGTATATAACAATTTTTTTAGTTTTTATTTTTATTTGTTTTCATTGACTTTTTTTAACAAATTCTGTTGTAAATAATATCCCATCGAAAGTAAAACTATCTAAAATTATACATATATAAAGTATTATTAACAAAATTAGTTATTAAATGTAGTGTATAAAAAGTACTTTGCTTTATCTATCAAGAGCCGTAGAGGCATTTAATCTTTACTTGAGAGTACAAGCTTACATTTGTTCGGCTTTGACTTATCAAAAAAATATGTATATATTTATATTTTATTTGTTATTTGTTATAAAATTAACACAGATATATAATTCAATTATTAACTCAAAATATAATTTTAATAACAAAACAATTATAAAGATAAAATCAATTCAATCAAATAAAGTTAAAGAGTATCTGAGGCAATTGTGCGGTACTTAAAAGATTGAATGATAAATTCTATGAAATGTTTACGGCTGATAATAAATACTTAATTTTCAGTTAAGATACTTAGTATTGTTTGTTTAACATTTGTGTTTATTATCATAAAAGTAACAAACACTTGACAAATTGTAGTAAATAAGTCAACAATTCGATAGAGAATATATAAATTAATTTACTAAAAACAAAATAAAATTGTTTAATAAAAGTTTAATAAAATGTCGAAATGTTATAAAAAGCGTGTATATGTGTAAGTGAATCAGAAATTAAAATATATAAAAATTATAAGCTTATTAGCGGCTTAAAGTTTTTGCAACCATGTTTTGGGGAAAGTTGGTTGATAATTAGGATTGTACATTTGTGCTCTAATAAACTTCGCCTTATCTGCCGGTTCAGGTCGTACTGTAGCTAAACCTAAACAAAAAAAAAAGTAATTTATTATAAACACATTAGTTATATTTTGTCGTTTGCTTTATTAATTACTTACCATTTTTATATGCATAATCCATAACACTTATAGCAATTTCCACTGAACATTTGGTGATCTTGTGCAAGGGTGGATATAAGCTGCCCTTTGCCAAATCCGAGGGTGTACATAACGAAGCCAATTTTTCTGCAGCAATTAAAAATATTTCCTCTGGTATGGTCAACATGCCAGCACAAATAACACCCAATGCGACACCGGGGAAAATATACGAATTGTTACCCTGACCGGGATGTAGTAATTTACCATTGTATTCGACAGGTTGGAATGGTGAACCAGAAGCGAAAATGCAAGTACCTTTGGTATGTGTATAAGCTTCTTCAGCAGTACATTCGGCTTTGTCTGTTGGATTGGATAGTGCAAATATAATGGGAATATCATTATATAGAGCCATCGATTCTAGAATATCTTGTGTAAATGCGCCACCAACAGCAGCAGCACCAATTAATACTGTTGGCTTAACAGCTTTTACGACTTCGGCAAGACAATCAATAGGTTCATGATTTTGTGCGAATCTTAATTTATGCGATGTAAGTCCACCTTTTGGACGATCTACGACAATAAGACCCTTGCTATCAACCATCCAAATACGTTTTTTAGCTTCTTCCTCTGTTAGACCATTATCGATAAGAGCCATAAGACAAAGGCCTGCAATACCCAAAGCAGCTTCACCGGCACCAAAGAAGAGAATAGTGTTTTCTTTTAGAGCAGTATCCTTTATTTTCAGTGATGATAAAATGCCAGCTAATGCTACAGAAGCAGTACCCTGTATATCATCATTAAAGGTGCAGAAATTATCACGATATTTAGCTAACAGGCGGAAAGCATTAGCGTTGCCGAAATCTTCGAATTGTATGAGACAGTTTTGTCCAAAACGTCTGACAACGGCATGCATAAATTCATCAATGAATTCATCATACACCACTCCAGAAAGACGATTGCGACGTAAACCAACATAAAGCAGATCATCTAAAAAAAAATAGAGTTTTTAATATATAGTAAAACAATAATTTGACAGTTATTAGATAGTATATAAAGTCATGAAAGTCTTTGTAAATATATAAAAGAACAGGTACAGAAGTACTTAAATTTCATTAGTGATAGTTTTGTACAATATTTGTTAAGTACTTGTTTATGTTATTTAAAATTTTTTTATTATTTTTTTAAATTATATTTCATTGAAGTGTTTACTTTCATAACCTTAACAACAACATTTATATTGCACTTACCACGTAAGCTTTGATTATTTGTGCCAACATCAAGTGTTATAGGCAAACACTGGCTTGGTTTGATACCAGCTAGAGCAGTATACAATGATAATTTGCCCACTGGTATGCCCATACCGTTAGCACCTAAATCACCAAGACCCAAAATACGTTCACCATCTGTAACCACAATAGCACGTACATCCGTTTCAGGCCAATTCTACAAAATAAATATATAATAATATAATTTTATATACTCTATATATTATAAGTAAAGATTTTGATTTAAGTAGAGTTTTAACTACACTTATTTTAAATAAAATATGACGTCATTAGGATCATTCTAAGTAATCGCGATTGGGTAATGAAGGCGGCACATCAAAATATAATCTTATCTTTATGATTTATGATTACAAAACAGAAAATATTGAAAAAGCGTATAATGTCAATAAAAATTATAAGCTAAAATGTTAGCATCCTAGGACAGTGGATAGGACGGCCTAGGCAGTACTATTAAAAATATATCCTAATAGCTCTATGTAACTATTAGCTCTACTAAGAAGTAATAGTATTTAACTAAGTGTGCTAATTTTTTTAACTCCGCGGAAAGTAGGTTAGAATATTCTCAAGGCAAGATGTCTGTCGTAAGAGACGACTAAAATCCAGTAGGCACCACCCGTTACCATTGACCGGAGGTGAAAATTTTGTATTACGGGAGCCAGACCCTACAGCTTTGGCTGCACTGACCAATTGAGGTTGGCTCTTTTAATAGTTGATTCAGCACCATGGTGTTGAAACTTAATGACGGGTTAGATTATAACGGTGATTCTAAGGGATCCACTTAGAACTATAGACCCACAGCTTTGGCTGTACTGACCAATTGAGGTCGGCTATAGACGCATTCTGCTACCGTATTATTAAAAATGCAAGTGCTAAATATTATTTAGAGCCTTTGGCAAAGCTTATTATGCTATTCAGAGGGAGGTCCTGAAGTTTGCTAAGATCCTTAAAAAAGAAATACCCAAAAGGTAATGTTAAGGCGACATGTATGGACAGAAGCTAAGCAAATGGGAAGCACTTTCATCGTCTTCACCACAACTGCTGCAGATTTGGTTGAAAGGGAGATTTAATCTCCTAACATGGTTACCTAAGTAAACTTACTGCAAGACTGATATCTCTACGGGGGATCTGGATGATCAATCAAGTTAAAAAATTATTTATTCTACAAACATGATATAAATATTTCTATTTATCTCAAAACTTTTAAAACTGGAGTTAAAACCTGCTTGCATCAAACTCTTTAATAATTCATGATTATATGTCGCAAAGTTCTGCGAAATTTACCTTTAAGACATCATAGATATGTCCACTATCATTAAGGGTTATGTACATGCCTTTAGGATGAGTAAAGATTTTACTGAAGTTTTGACAAGCCAAACCAACGGTCGGTGTATAAACGATTGGCATCATTTTGCTCACATCCGATGCCAACACCTTGTAGAATAAACGTTCATTACGTTCAGCCAAGTCACTGAGATACATATACTTGTCCAAATTGTTTTCCAAACGATTCAGTAATATCAATGAATGAGTAACTTGCTCTTCCTCGGTCTTTACAACTGCAGGCAGTAAACCGTGTATACCGAGCAATTGACGTTCTTCCAAGCAGAAGGCCAAGCCCTAGAAAATAAAGATTATAATATTATTTTATTTGTTTTAATTATGTAAAATATAGTTTTTTTTATATAATAAGTTACTGAACTTTGAAGCGTATTTTGCGCCGCTTTATATTTTTTTTTGTTAAATTTTGTATTCAAAATTGCTTTTTGTCTACAAAAGCCAATTTTTATATGAAATTTATGACCCAAATTTTATTTATTAATTTTACAAAATGAAAAAATAAAACAAAATAAAAACTATACTTAAAAATTTTATGCATGTCAAATGAATATGCATGAGTGTCTGGTCTTGCCATGAGCAACTCTTAAGTCTGAAGTCCATTTTATTAAGAAGTTCAACAATGGTATTAGTCGAGACTATACCATTGTATTCCAAACAAACATATTTGGTATTTTATATCAAAAAGTAAGTAGTAGTTTTAATTTATTAATTTTTTTTTTTTTAATCTTCAGAGTGATTCCCCTTTGATGGCAGGCTACTATGTCACCGGATTTCAAGAAACGCTGTTAAAAGTCCTTTTCAGATATGGATGGCTTGAGTTTACTCTATAATTTCGTCTTTATATCATTTATTGTTGAAAAAGTTTTCCTTTTAAAGTGTTTTGAATTTGATAAATAGCAAAAAGTTTCAAGATGCCATATTTGGAGAGTAAGTAAGGTGTTGAGAGATTATATCGATGTAATGCTGCATTACATAAAAAAAATTATAGAACAAACTTCGGCCTAACTCGTTATATATCCATATGTTGAGTTTTTAAATAATATTAGTAGGCTAATCAATTAGTTCAGGAATAAGAATTGGCCTGAAACGGATGTACGTGCTATTGGTTGTGTACGTCGTGTGGGAATAATAAGACTAAAGGAAGGTGGAAATCTGGCTCTTCCATTCTGAAGAAAGGTCACTTTCAAAAATCGTGGCATGAGTTATTTATATTAATTGTCTATTAATTCGGTTTTAAAGCACTCATGTCATTTCTTTGGATGTCCACCTATGTATCCCGAGCATTCGTGTGTTCATAACCGAATTATTTCGACGTTATTTAGAATTTTGTCCTTTTCACTTTATAAAGATTCGAGAGTAATGCATATTCGTTTATTAATCATTATGTTTAAAATGATTTTTTTCAAAAATTTCTTATTGGTGAGTCCCGTTTTGGATGTCGTATCGAATATGCTTTGAGTAACGCTGGTATATAAAACTTATTATGTGAATGGGAGAAACAAAATTTACTTACAGGATACTGTAGACTTAATTACCAAATGAAGATTATAGGTGCGCTAGACTCTGTCGACTTTGTCATGAGGAGAAGGAAACATTGGAACGTATTCTATGCAACTGCTCAATGGCGGCAAGACGTAGACTGGAGTAGTTTGGAAGCAGGATCTTAGTCCCAAATCAAATAGGTAAAATTAAGCCCACAGATTTTACGAGATTTATAAATAGTCTATAATTGTTTTAGTTGGGCCTTTAGGCGCACAATAGATCTTTTAGGTCGGGGTGCATTTTATTAATTAATTAGTATTATTTAATAATAACGCTGGTTTAGCCATAATCTTGAGATATATGTAAACTATATTCGTATTCAACTTTGCTATATTTTTATATGGATTTTGCTTGAAAAATGGCATATATCGCTGTAAGTTTTCAAGTACAATAGTCTAAATACAGCATAACATGATAACTTCAAATCAATAACAATCTCATTGAATCTACTATATTTATGGGAACTCCGATTGGCACACGACATGTAATATATAAAAGCAACAATATTTGATATTTTTTGAGCTATTTTATTTGTTCAGCAAATAGTTTGGAATTTTAGTAATGTAGCTTGTTGATTTGTATAATTCTAACTATGAAGAAAATAAATAAGCTACCTATGATAGTACCCGTTCTTCATTCATAAATCCAACTGTTTTCAATTTACGACTCGTGGGGTAACTATATATGTTATATAGTCTGATTTTAATATAAATATAAAAATTTATTTAAGTCATTTTCTGAGTATTTATAAATTGTGTAAACATTAATAAACGTGTTTCTTGAAGCAATTAACACATTATCGTGTTACGCATACAAATTACCCGATTTTAAAAAAATAAATAAAAATAAATCGTTATGACACACAACTTTCAGAAAGCGTTCACCTTTTCGAGGTTTATTTGCATTTGTTTATACCTCATAAAAAATTCAAGTTCAAAGTCAAACTATTTTCAAGTTTTTCCTAGAGAATCGTCTTTTGTTTGGTTTCTACTAGAAATATACCGGCTAAATAGTTGGCGACAGAATCATTAAATCTGTGAATGTAAAATGTAACAATGAATAATGATTCACTTTTAAAAAGTTAATTACTCGTAAATACACAACGTGATTCTAGTAGGTTAATGCATATTCAAATAGAAAGTTATTATATCTATGAACTATCTTGCAATGTAATTTTATAATACTTATCTGATAAGTAACCTTCAGATGAGACTTTTTTTATTAGCAATTAGTAGCGTAGAGATGTCAATTAAGTCAATAATTAAACTCATATATCTTTGCATGTTTATGACATTTAATTCGTGTATTGGGATTATAAATTTAATTGCAACATTTAAAGTAATAAACTGAGATATTTTGATTTATATGATCACATCTTTTTTATCACACTTTCGTTTTATTTACAATCACCGGACTTTTATGCGATATCCAAGTACTTGTCCTTAGTAACATTCACTTGGTATTGGATTTATTATTACTGATATATTTTGAATATACAATAATATACAATACGAATGAGTTTAATTTATGTTTCTACATACTAATTAAAAATAAAAAAAATGTTCCACGTAAGCACCACAAAACAAAAGATACAAAATTCGCTACACCATTTACTTAATTAATTAAATTAGACATTAAAAATGTTATTATTACTAAGCGGACTGACTTTTTTGTCGATATATCCTACACAAAAATAAATTAATATTTAGTATATAAGATTTTAATTTTTAATAATTTATTTGCATTGGTTAGTTAACTATATAACTTTATATACTAAGTGATATTTGCACATACAAATAAATACCTGCAGTACACAAGACAACATCGATGTTTTTGCAAAATTTTTGTACATTTTTGTGTGTAAAGTTTTTGCATTTGCATTATGATTTTTATCTTTTCATCTCAACCAGCTCTTACCTCAACTCAAATACACTTTTTATGCAGTAAAGTAAAAGAATAAAATAATAAGAATAATTGGCGAGGGAATGAATAAAAGTGCCGTTAAGCTTGAAAATTTAAGTGGAAACATTTTTAATGTTAAAAAAATTTAAAAAACATAATGAAATTTATAGTTTCATTATTATTGTGGAGAACAAGAAATAAAAGAAATACTTTAAAAATATATACAGTCTAAATTAAAAAAAAAAGCATTTGGAAATTAGGGGCTATAGGAAAAAGAAAGAGGATTTGTTGTATTTAAAAAAACAAAATATATTTATAAAAAAAAGAAAACGTATGAATATATTTAAACATAAATATATATAAAAAAGAGAAAAAAAATATATGTGAAAAAAAAGAAAAAAATACATATATATATATAAAAAAAATATATGTATAAAAAAAAATTTATATATAAGAAAAAAAAAAATATATATATATAAATTATATTTATAAACAGAAAGAAAATATTATATATAATAAATATATATATATAAATATATATAACAAAAAAAAAATATATATCTATATAAAAAGAGGAACAGAAAAATAAATAAAGATGATATTTAAAATGTCTGTCAGAAAGTTAGGATATATCATCTAGATTTCGAAGACATTTACTTATTTTGTTTGAGTACCTTTTGTTAACAAGGTATATCAGCCAATTATAAAATTATATATTATAATTATCGAACTATTATATTAAGTACGAGAACATGGCGATCATGCTAAACAGGAATAGATGAACAATGGCTTTCGGATAATAGATACCACTAATCGAACATCAAGATTGATCCCATCAAAAAATACATAAAGGATAGAGCCATGCAATTATTTGCGAAAACTGATGGACTTATCAACAACGCGTTATCAAATCTCAAAATAGTTACAGGCTCATCGGAGAGGTATGCAGAACTGAGGTCAATTATTGCGAAGTCTGATGAAGTGATAAACAATAATCTAGTCAAGGTATAAAGGGGGGTTTTAAAAATAAGTGCTTAAGTGCACTGGTACAAAACAGCTTCAACATAACTAATCAAAAAAAAAAAAAAAATAAACAGAAATAGAAATAGAAGGCTATTATTCGACAGGCTCTGGTTTTCGAAGGACTATTACACAAATGATGATGATCAGATACTTTTAAAAAGTTAAGAATTTTTTTCGAAATTCACACCTTAAAGAACATAGGTACAGCTTTAACAAAGGTCTCTTATAAATTTTGCAAAAACTTCATATATTTTATATTCTTTTATCTCTACCTATTACAACTATTAAATTTTTATAATGTATTCAAAAAAAAATTTGATTATAAAAAATACTTTTTTTTTTTCAATTAAAGTACTTTGAAACACAGTTCTTAACCTCTAATGGGTCAAGAACTGTACCATATATATACATTATAATCAGAAGATTTTGCAAAAAAAGTTCACTATGTAGGAGTTACTAAGCAAAAAACTAAAATATATTATCTTATTATTGTTTATGTTGTTGATGACAGCAAATAAATCAGACAGAGTAATCTCGGGGTAAACATATATAAATGCAAGAAAGTCAATTGAAAGTTAAACTTAATCTATATAACAAAAATAATGAGTGAGTAAGAAAACATTTTTTTTTTACGAAAACAGTTTATAGTTCTAGAAGTGTTGTCTGTGTTTGCCAATATTACAGTTACGTATTGTTTTTAATAAATTACCGGAGAAGGGAGAAAAATAACCTTTTTTTAATAGAGCAATATAACGCAATAAGACTTTTTATTTAAAGGGCCTCTACTTTTTTCACCCCATCAATATAACAAA